TAGTTGCAATAAAATAAATATCAAAAAACAAAATTATGTACCTTCTTAAATAAAGAGTAAGCTTGTATTCATATTTGGCTATTCCAAAAACTCCTAAATTCGCTGACTTATTCAAATATCTTAAAGCGCTTTTACATAAGAATTTACAAAAATTTTTTTCATAGTTTGTGCAAAAAAGTTATTAAATAATTATTTTTAACAAAATCCTTTAGGTTAGCGGATTAGCTAATTAAATTTCCTTTAAAATGGTATATTTTTTTCGATACGTTGAAAATTCGTTGAGTAATCGCCGGTATAAACTCGGAAAATTGAAAAATTTTAATTTCGAGAAAAATGAATTTGAAGGTTGAGGTAAACAACGAAAATTGCGATTTTTTTTAGACACACGGCTATTTAAGTATCCATTTTTCACCTAATCAGCAATGTCTGCACCATAAAGGAGACCTTCTTCCTGTCCAAATTGCAGCTCTCATTTTTTTCGCTAATCGACCTGCTCCTCTTCCCGAAGGACACTTGCGAAAGTAGCCCTAGCAGCTAAACCGTTCGGATTTCCCTTTAAAAATTTAAGTGTATTCCTGAAATGTTATACTTTCGATATGTGTAATAAAATAAAGTCAATTTTTCGATCGATTTATACGAGGATACCTCCACCTAGTACAGTTTAAAATTATTTCGAATGTTACTTAATGTGAAAATAAATCTTCTGTTTCTGATGCATACATAAATTATTTGTAGTATTATCTGTAGTATTACCTATTTGCCAATTTTATCCTGGTAATAATAAAATAATAAATGATTTTATTTGCAATTGTATACAATAAGTTAACACAAGATTACAAACAAAAATAAAAAAAAGATACAAGTAATACAAATTGCAAAATGGCAGAGTTCAGGTTAAACCTGCTCTTCCACTCAATCAAAATTATATTTATAATCAAATTTTTCTAAAACAAACAAGTAGAAATAAATTAAGACATACTTATACATATTTAAGATAAGTACAAAAAACTACATTTTAAAAAACAGTAATTATAAAGATAAAAGTAATACCACTGGTACAAAAAAAAATGTATATTGTACAAGGTGTTAATGAATAGGTGTTACAAACGGATATGGTATGTAAAAAATCCAAAAATAAGTGCAGTTTACTTGATAAATATATGTCCTAAAGCGGCTCATTTTCGAGATACAGGGCGTTGAAATTTAAAAATAATAAACTATTTTTTCCTATAGCTCCGGTATTAGTTCATATTTCTTTATCAAACTCAACAGACAGATTTACTAGCTTAAAGGATGCATAAATATGGCAGAAACCATTTATTGGCTTCTTCTAGTGGCGTGCGATAGGTGTCGTTTCACCTTTTATCCCCCCTAAATTGTGCGGCACTGTACAAATATTAGTTTTTCGTATGTTTTTGAATTTGCTAGTATTTTTTACGTAAATAATGTATACTTGTTAGACTTCCATAAAATGAGTAATTATCAAGTTATTAACATTTACATTACTGAGGTCACCTTATGCTCCAAAAACCAAAAATTTTTAAAAAGTGACATGTTGAGTA